TTATTTTGATCAGTGTTTTTTTTAAATCATTCTGTCATAGGTCTTTATGAAGTTTTGTAATATAAACAGGAAAATAGCTTTCTGGTATTTAGTTTGTTCTGTTTACATATAATTTGAGCTTTAGAGGATTTTCTCATTGTGAGTTATACTGACCATAGATTTTGATCTTTTTTTTTGAGATTTGTAGTGAGACATTGGGATTCAGATTTACTTAACGTTGTCTACCCAATATTTAAATGAGCAATATTTTAATTATGTATCTAAATTAATAATGTTTTCTGATCTTTTTATTGCTTTTGTGATTGTAATTCTTTGTAGAAAGGTTACATTTTGATATCTACATAGATATTTATGCATGTTACTTTACTAAAGTTAACTTTTATTAAAACTATATTAATTATTAAAATGATCTTTTTGTTGGTCACATGTACACTTTCATTGAAAGCAGGTATATTTAGGATAAGAATAGCCTTGGCATGTATAATCAGTAATCATTTATAATCAGTAATCACAGGTTATTTTTTAAATTTCTCAAACTAATCAGGTTGAGTGTATTTCCACATTTTAAGAAGTGATTTATTTTCTGTTACCCAGAGTTTCTTGAGATCATTATGATAATGATGTCATTGATGACAAATGTAAATTAAAAAATGTTAATCTATTAAAAGATTTCTTTTTTGTACTGATTTTTCTGAGACATACCTTCCTAAGGAAGGTTGTAAAATTTTATTATAGTGAAAATTATTAGAGTTATTTTATGTATTAAAGTGATCTTTTTTTTTTTTTTTTTGTCGGTCATGGGGCTTGAACTCGGCCTGAGCACTGTTCCTCAGCTCTTCCCATAGGGCCACTTTTGTTTTTCTGGTGGTTTATTGGAGATAAGAGTTTCACAGCTTTTCCTGCCCGGGCTGGCTTTGAACCGAGATCCTCAGATCTCAGCCTTCCTGAGTAGCTGGGATTACAGGTGTGAGCCACCAGAAGCATCCAACTTTAAAGTGATCTTTTTATTAGTCACATGTATAACTTTATTGAAGACAGATAGATTTCTCTCATTTGTAAGCTCATTTATGAATTTTTTATATTTCTAACTCTTGTTTTTCTTAAAAATATGGAAACTCACATTTTTTGAAAATTACATAAGCAGACTTTTACAGATTTATGATGCCTCAAAGACAGCGTGGTATTTGTTTCCTTGCCCTTTCAGGTTAACTGAAAATATTGTTTGAGAGTATCTAAATTTCTCATAGAAAACAATTTCTTAAGATGACAAATTATTAGTGCTTACTGAAAACTGTACAGACTGAAAAACTTGAATGGAATGTTTATATATTTTTATGATAGAAAGTTTCCTATCCTTAGTTTTAGCTACAAAATTATGCTTAATGAATTGATAGGTAGTTTATAACTAAAATGTAGGGTAAGACACCATTTTATAAGTTATTGATTTAATGTTGGTAAAAGCCTCAGTGTATGGCAAAGAAAACACACCCCTGAATTTGTGCAGATGTTTTATTGTGATAGATCTATTATTCAGCTATTAGAAGATAAATGACTGATCTTTCCTATATTCCATGCCTCGAGAAAATTGAAATAAGAAGGGGAATATCATTTGAGCTGTATGATTAGGGCAGGTTGGATGGCCATTAATTTAAGGAAGAAAATCTTGGCAGCATTGGGCAACTTACACCATATTATCAATCAAACCTTGATGCACTTCTTGTGATGACCCAGCATTCTCAGGTTTTTGCAGTGTTAATTAGAATTCATGACAAAATAGATGCAAGGAAACGTTTTGTACCCTTCATAATTTTATAGAAAATTTATTGTTATTAGAGGAACCATTTGCTTAGTGTGATTTTTTTCATTACCAGCTTGTCAACTAGCATAGATAATCTAGAGAAAATATGAACTCTATAGATAGGGTGTCACTTTTGTTGATGGTTCATGTAGTTTACCTTGGAGCACAGCTAATGGCTGAAGTTCATAGCAACAGCACAGAAAAACATGGCAACCAAGGGGAGATAAATGAACCATGCTTATTGCTTTAATATAAAAAATACATAAATGGAAAACTGCATTTGAATTTGATGAGCTCATTGCTAGATTTGTTGGAGTGATTTATTTTTCCCCTTATATGAAAAGCTACTATTGACATAGTGAAATGGAAATTAACTGTCTGTTTTTTGGAAACCAATATTTTTGGTGTTAAAATCTGAGTAGATCATTTTATTTTAATTCTGAATGTTTTATAGAATATTGAACATTTAATAGACCAATATTATCAATTCTTCTGTTAGTGGTTAGCTTAGAGTCAGATTGTTTCAAAACATTATAAAATGAATTAAGTATCTAAAATGGTCAGTTTTATTGTGTGAAAGTGCTCTCTATAATCTATTAGTTTTAGTGTTTCCTTAGGCCTTATTTGTACTTAAGTAGCTATTTTGTTTTTTGAATATTTTATTAATGCTTTGCAGTTGTGTACTTAAAGTTCTTGGTTTAATAGGTTTAATAAATTTAATATGTAGTAATTGGCTTTCAATTTAATTTTTTGCTATCTACACATTTGGTAGAAGTTAATTCCTACGTGTAGAAGGAAAAAAACCTTGATTTTTAGATAGTACCTTTATAATTTAAATTCTAGTTCAATTGAGTAAGTTATTCTTAGTGGTTCCTGATTTTTGTATTTTAACAATCATTATCCATTGATATAATTAAATATGAGTCTTAGATTGATATATATATATATATATATATATATAATATTAAAACAAATAGTAACTTATTCTGTAGTTTGGTGTCAAACTTGGTTGTTTTAAAAGATTTAACATTATATTCTTTTCAGTCTTATAGAAATGATTATTACAGAACATTATTTCTGAAGTTTTGTAGAAGACATCAAATGTGAAGTTGAAAACGTGTACTTAACTTCCTTTTCGTATCAATAACAAATGGAAAATTATTCGTGTAATACATTTTTATTTAGTTCACACAAATAATCAATTCTTTGTTTTTTCGATTGAGGTGCATACATGCTGGGACCAGCAGGCACCAGTACTTGGGCAGGGCTGGAGTCAATAAATGCAGCTTCACGTTTATACTGATTGGTAATTCATAAAATCCCCACAGGACCTGAAACTTGTTTAGCATAATAGCAAGTCTATATTCTGAGCTGTTTTCTTCCAGTTGTATTGTTGGTTGCATATTAATAAACTAAATGTCAGCCAAGTAGAAGAGACAAACACTCAAAATATGAATATCATTGTATCTAATATTTTTCAAAAAGTACCATTTCAGTAAGTTGTATTTCGATTTAATTGCTTATTTTAAGCCATTGGGGAAATTTTAGACACTAAAATGAAGATCCCTAGTGTTCAGACAGAGTATGATATTAATTTGTTTTTTCAGAACTGTATTATATTGTTGGCTAACTGTATAATATACATCAGCAATATAGATATGTATACATATATAAAAGCATTTGTACATTAAATATTCTGTTTATTTTGTATCTTAATACTAAATTTATCTTAGATTTATAAAAGCATGATAATCCAAAGATTAGTGTTTAAGGTTCACTAATTGGTTTTGGGGAAAGCCACTTTTTGTTGGTAATATATTATTCCAGTTTACACAGTGTTATACAAGTAATATTGATATACCCAAATTTCAGTCAGCATGTTTTCTATGAAAATAAATTATATTGGTGAAAGCACATTGATTAAGATATGTGAGATTTGGAGGAGTTTTTATACTAAAAATATTTATGAATTTGTTTTATAATAAAAATTCATATTGTCATTTTCATTTTAAACTGACACAATGTGATCTTTGTTATTGCCTTGTTTTTCTAAATATTGTTACAAACTAAGAAAAGAATCTGAAAATTTAGGTAACCTTTGAAAAGAATAATGAGTGTTTAATCCATGTGTAAATAATTTATTTCAATTTCTCTTGATAAAATAAAAAATCATAATCTTTTTTCAAGAAAGGATTTGTTTTCCAGATAAGTTACAAGTATTAAAATTATTGAGGTCATGTTACTGTAAAATTTATATTCATACATAAGCATCTGTTTTAATTGCATGGCTAAGTACTTTATCGATTATCATAGCACTGTTTATATCACTGTAACACCTGAGTTGGGTCTTTGATGGGCAAAAAATATTTTTTAACAAGTTACTATTTCTTTCTTTTATAGTTGGTAGCTGGCAGTGTTGTGATGGCTTTTGAAGAAGTATGTCCTGATAGAATAGATCTGATTCACAAGAATTACCGCAAACTATGTAACTTACTGGTGGATGTAGAAGAGTGGGGACAGGTTGTCATAATCCATATGCTAACTCGCTATGCTCGTACACAGTTTGTCAGTCCTTGGAAGGAGGTAAGTGCTGAATAATCTTCCTCTTAAAACATACAATGAATTGATAATTTTTGTAAAGTGTGTACAACAAATTTAGAATAATGTGAAATATAGAAAGTTACATGTTTTATGAGGACTTAGTTTTTCTTTTTTTTTTTTTAACAAAAGGAAACCAAAATAAAAATGCAAGAATTTGTTCATTGCTTGGTAGTGATTGTACATAATGTCTGTATGTAAGATTGTATATAATGCATTGTATGTAAGATTTAGTACATAAACTTTTAGTGTGATACCTGGTAAAAGGCCCTTAGGATACAATACTTACAGTGACATTGTCAATCTACAAATTTTTGTTGTTGTTTCAAGTTACCTGCACATCATTGAGCACCAGCTATTTCAGGTACTATTGTCAATTTGGTGGGCTGTGGGACTAAAATATAAATTACCCAAAAGATAATTCTTGGTTTCATAGATGAATATTGTTAAATTTTAAAACTGGTCTGAATTTTATATTTCTAAAACAATTGTATTTTTCTTTTCATTTATACTTGGTAGTATTTTAGTAAGATTAATATATATGCCTTAAAGTGAAGGTGTTTTCTTTGGCAGATGAACATTTTAGAAAATTTTAATTTTTTTTCATATTTTGTAATTGAACCCATTTATATGTGTATGTATTTCAGAATGAAATGTAAATTTTGACTTTGTGTAAAAAAATTCTTTTTTAGAATATATTTTTATTTTCTTAAATTTTTTTATTGTAAAGGTGATATAGAGAGGGGTTACAGTTACACCAGAAATTCTTAACTATTACAAGATAGCACACTCATCTTTTGGTGTCTTTTTAAAATGTAGTATTCTAAACTTTAAAATGAGTTGTGTAAAAAGTAAAATTTCAATTATATTAAGATGATTTATTTTCAAACTAACAGGCTTTCGTGCTCAGTACATCTCTTTTGTTAAATTGAAAAATAAGGTGAGAAAAAGTGCATAAAATTGGGGAAAAAAACCTTTCATAATATATGCTTCAGGTGACACATCAAGCTTGGAAATAATCAGGAAAGGTTTCATTGCTTTTATCATATTGACTTAATATTTGCCACCATTAAACACATTTAGCATGTCTTCCCTCTTAATTTTTATGTAACTATTTTGGATTATATATGGTAGATTTAGCTTTGGAAGTTGGTAAACTGAATCACAAGCTAGATTTGATCATAGCTGGAAGGAACTGAGAAGTATGAGCCCTTTATATCTCCTTTCTGATTCATATGTGATGCTAAAATACATGCTGTGTAGAAAAGAATGGCTAGAATTATTACAAAATAGAAAGACAAGGTGAAACAGTACTTTAGAGAGCCTGGGCTGAGTTGTTGTCATCTTTTTACCACCAGTGCTTGAGTGTGTTGTTCATGAAATCAGTGGAAAAGAAATACTTCCATTTTAGCACATCATTCCCTTTCATGTACAAGCAAAGTCACTCACTACAAATGCTATATGAATATCACTTTATCACAAATTTAGAGTCATTTTACCTTGAAGAAAAACAATTTGCTAGTGTGGGAAAGCAGTGACACTAAAATAATATACTATCTTAAAATTTATTTGAAATTAAAAGTTAATTATCAGACTAAATTAAAGTGAATTTAACAATTTCTTTTTCCAGTGCAAGGAAATGTGACAAATAATACTGTAATACTTAACACATTATTTCTTAGCATCGGTTATTGAACTCAGAGCCTTATATATACAGCATGAAGGTTCTATCACTTGAGCCACAACACTTGAGCCCTTTTGTTTATATTTCGATTTTTAAATAAAGTCTTGCCAGCTTTTCTAGGGCTGGCCTTGAACTTTCAGTACTCCTGCCTCCGTCTCCCAAGTAACTGGAATTACAGATGTTAACCACCTTACTCTGCTATTTTGTCACACATTCTTGCTCATGTTATTTGAGATTGTGAGTTTTTTGAAAGTTTTTTTTTGTGGTACTGGAGTGTGCACTTAGGGCTCCCTGCTTGGGTAGGTAAGCACATTTTTAGCCACATCCTCAGCCTCTTTTGCTTTAATTAACTTTTGGATAAGGTCTCACATTTTATTGACGGCGCAGGCCTCCAACCACAATTCTACTTATGTCACTGCCTACCTGGGATCATAGGCATGGGCCACCATACCCAGGATTTTACTGACTGAGATATGGAAATGGGAAGATCTCAAGAAGTTTGTGCCTGGGCTGGATCCTCCACTTCCCACTGGATCTCCACTTCCCAAGTAACTGGAATTACAGGAGTACACACCCCTACTCAGACTATAGATAGATTTTTCATACCTATTTAACAGATCAAGAAACCGAGGCATGCAGACTTTTTGGGATGGTATGAGGTTTGAACTCAAGAGATTTGTATTTGCTAGGTGAGTGATCTAATCCTTGAACCACATACTCCCAATTCCAAAGGCATAACAATTTTGCTAATTAAGATAATATTGCTTATTCAATTTGAAGCCAGAAACAGTTACCTGATAGTCAGGGCAGCATTCTTCCCTTTATATAGTACCTCAGAATGTTTAAACTTAAAATGTTTTTTGTTATTTTAATAAGTTTTTGTGTTTGCTTATTGTGTTTCTTTCAAAACAAACTTCAGAGCCCAAGTCTACAATGCTCATACATTGCAATTAGACAAGAACTATAATTAAATTTGCTTTTCAAAGAGAAAGATCATGTTTCTCTTGGAATTTTCAAAAAATGTTTGTTTATGTTGATATGCTTGAAGGGTAGCAAAGTAGTTTCTTTGAGGAATTGAAAATTAGTAGCAGTACTCTTTGAGATGAGCTGATATATATGCTTTTGTCAATAAGTTCTCAAATGAACATATCATATACAAACAAGCTTCTTCAGGGCAGAAGAGATTTTTAATTTAGTTTATTTGCATCATTATAGATTAGTATTTAGGCTGTTTATATGTAAATGTATGATTTGAGGAACAATTAAGTGTTGACAAAGTAGATAGCAGTCATATCAATTGCAGTACATTTTCCATAATTTTTCTAACTGACATCTTTGATGATGAATAGTGGATGCCAAGTCAAAGCCGATTATCCTCTGCACTAGGAATTCATGGGGCTGTCAGGGAGAAGACCGATTGACTTTAAATTTACATATTAATGAGAAGATTTGTTAAGAGGGTGCTTGACTATAGAAAATAACAGTGTATTTATAGGGCACGACATTTTATAAATAAAGCTGATGCAGGAAAATGGAAATTAAACCTTTTAGGTTAATAAATTCAAGAGACTGACAGAATGCACATTTGCATTTTTATTTTTTAAAATTTACCTTACTATTTGCAGTCTTTGTCGGGTTATTTCTTATTCCAGGTCAAGTTTTGTATTATTTTTCAAGGATGTAAAATTACTTATTTTCTTTTTTTAAGAGTATTATGGGCATACGTACAAACACTGAAGTTGCTTTTGTAAAAATAACGGAGCTTGGAAAATAAACATAAAACAAAGTAAATTATTTGTTTATTTATCTTATTGTTTGTACAAAAGGACTGCAATTCCTTAAATCAGGTTATGAGCCCAATGCTTCTTGGTTAGTGTTAGCCCTTCAAAACAAAGTAAATTTTAAGAGAGGAAAAAAACCAGACCTTCCTACCCTCAACTCCAAACCCTGTTCTGGCATTAGTTATAAACAGGAATAAAATTGACTTTGGTCCTGACAAGAATGGATTTAATATTACAAATTTAGTTCTTTGATATTGATCTGGAAGATAGCAGTTTTCCAAGAATTTCCATAGTATTTTGGAACTTTAAACATTGTTGCTTTTTAGAATATGCATCCATTTAATAAAGTTCTGGTGGTAATAGTCATGCCACTTGAAATTTGAGTAATTAATTTACTTATGTATTTGGTCTTCTATTTTTTTGTGCCAATCGTGGTACTTAAACTCTGACACCATCCCTGGGTTTTTTTGCTCAAGGCTAGCACTCTATCAGTTGAGCTACAGCTCCACTTCCAGCATTTTGGTAGTTCTGTTGGAGTCTCATGGACTTTCTTAACTAGGCTGGTTTTGAACCTCAATCCTCAGATCTCAGCCTCCTGAGTAGCTAGGATTATAGGTATGAGCCACTGTCATCAGGGTTTTTGTCTCTTTTAATGTTTCTTTTTGTCTCTTTTTATAAAACTGTATGTAGGTTTAACAAAGGTCAAAATTTAGATTTGTTTACATTTTTAATAAGCCCACAAATTGTTTTGGAGGTAGTTAGAAAATAGCTAATTCAAATGCAAAATTGATTTATATAGTTCTTGATAAACAATTTTTTATAAGTTAAAAGGTGTTCCAAGGAAGTGTTTCATGGCCTCCACATCCAGGTTTTGACTTAAATTGGAGATTATCAACTTTTAGTTTTCTTTGCAGGCTAATTTATTTTTCCTTTAAAAATTGTATTATATTTTATAAATAGACTACTAGCAGATTTGACCATCTTGTGGAACCACTTAAAACCAAAATGCTGAGGAATTATAATAGAATCTGCTCATTTGTGTAAACAAAATCAGTTTGTATTCTTTCTTGCAGGCACCTGTTGACAAAGAGTTTAGGATTCATGAGCTGATATTAAAAGTCTTTTCCTCTCCTTGATTAGAAAGCACTTAACTTAAGAAACTCCTTATTCTTTGTGTTCATCATTTGTTCTTGATTGCAGTTTTAAAAACTCATCAAATTCCTTTTTACGAAGTTATTTTTAATATTTTTCAAGTAGTATGAACATGGAATTTTTAAAGTTCAATAATATGACAAGACTTATTTTTCTGTTGCAGTCTTCTCCATGCTGGAAGTTAGCTCCTTGAAATTCTTTCAGCTTTTATGTGTTTGTGTTTATGTAGTTTCTCTATTTATAGATAATAAACAATATTACTGATTTATTTATTTTCTGCTTTAGCAAGTTCAGATATTATATATTAATTTCCTCTTATAGAAATAGAAAACTATGTGTTCTTTTCTGTGGTTCTGGTTCCATCTTCA